TCATGATATTGTTATTATTTACGATGTTTACATTAGTATGAGTTTCTGCTGAGCACAAGTGTTTTAGTGCTCACGCCCCACATTTTTCATGTTTTTCAGGTCGCAGGGTCGAGACGAGGAGTGAGCGGGCGGGCTGTTCAGGACATTTGTGTATATATGTATATATGTTTTTGCCACGTTTGGTTTCCGCTAAAACTTTCAGTACTTATTATCAGTTTTTGTTCTGACGTTAGTCGGATAAGACGTTATAACCGTTTTTAATTATCAGTTTAAAATTTTAACGGTTTTCAGAAAAATTAAGTTTTTCACGGTAGCATCCCGAATCAGTTTTCGCAAAATATGTATTTTATTTATTTATTCAGAAATTGCAAAAAATAGCGTACTCTGAAATAGTAAAAAGTCGGGGTGTTACAATTGGTATCAGAGCACGTTTCTGCGTCTCAGAAAAGTTTTTCAGTCAGAAATTTTCAGAAAAACCTGAACCGTCACGCTCACGCCTCACCGACTCCAGGTAAGTGCTGATTCAGTTTTTCAGTTATAAACATATTACTTTGTCTATGCTCAGAAATCAGTAATCAGATTTAGTTAAGATGCTCGATTCAGGTTCAGACTTTAGAGTTCCGATATAACTCTAGAATTCAGTAGATTCAGACCTGACTTTAGAGATCAGTACACTCAGATATGACTCTAGACTTTAGTATCTTTCGATATGACTCTAGAGTTCTCAGGTTTCACGTCAGTATTTATCGGCCATTTTTGGCTACTCGTCAAGAGATTTGTGTGCCTTAGTAATCAGTCAGAATATCATCACGTGTTCAATAATTTTGAACTTTCTCAATGTTCAGATGCCGCCACGTAGGGAACCCGATCATCCGGCTCCTACTCAGGCTTTAGTGGTCGCGCAGTTCCGCGACTATCATGCCGAAAAGTTCTCAGGGCAGGGAGATCCTCGCATAGTTGACGAGTGGATTCAGGGCTTGGAGTTTATCTTCGAGGTCATGGAGTGCCCTGAGAGATATCGCGTCATTTGCGCTCAGCTTCAGCTCACCGGTGATGCCAGGCTCTGGTGGAACGCTTACTGGAGCATGCGTCCCGACGAAAAGGCGGGTTGTACGTGGGAGATGTTCAAGGAGTTAATCTGCGAGAAGTACTACCCCACATACTATCGAGCCGAGATGGAGTGTCAGTTTCTATCGCTCCAGCAGGGTACTCGTACTGTTGACGAGTACGAGAGGGAATTCACGAGACTTGCAGCTTTTGTTCCTGATCTGGTCCGCGCGGAGGCCCAGCGAGCGCAGCGTTTCATTGACGGGCTTTACCCAGCAGTCCATCATAACATCGTAGGCCACGGGACACAGACGTACGCACGTGCAGTCTCCATTGCCCAGGAGGTGGATGCCAGCATTAGGAGGGAGGCCGTTCGTGATCAGTTCCAGCCATCCGCCCCTGCCCAGTCGTCTTCAGTTCCACCGTTGCCAGCTCTACCATCTACCCAGCTGCCAAAGAACAACAAGAGGAAGGGGAAAGGTGTCCCGGCAGATAAGAGGACCCGACGTAGACTACAGCAGATCCCCCAGTGCTCGACATGCGGACGACTTCACCGAGGCGAGTGTCGCTTTGGTCAGGATGTGTGCAACTATTTTCACGAGCCCGGACACTTCGCGAACCGTTGTCCGAAGAAGGCGCAGCAGCCTCAGCAGCCACCGCAGCAGCAGCAGCCCCGTCAGCAGGCACAGAGGCAGCCTCAGCAGCAGCAGCAGAGGGGCAGACAGCAGGCCTGAGTTTACGCCGTCGATCAGGCAGAGGCCGAGCAGCAGGCAGGTACCATGTCCGGAATGGTTGTTCTTAATAATGTTCCTGTGTTTGCTTTATTCGATACTGGAGCGACACATACTTTCATTTCTCGACGATGTCTTGACGCCATCGGAGTTCGCGCCACTACCACTATCGATCCTCTTGAGGTGAGTTTGGCCTCAGGAAGAAAGATAGTGACTTCAGCTAAAGCTTCAGATCTTAGCCTTTCCATCGGTGGCCGAGTTCTGTCTACCAACGCGTTTGTTCTCGAGATGAGAGACTTTGATCTTATTCTCGGAAAGGATTGGCTATCTTTTTATCATGCGGATATCAGATGCCACGACCGAGAGAATACGCTTTATCTTTCGGGAGACGAGTCGATTACTTTCTTTGGCTCCATAAATCGTTCTTTGCCTCATGTTGTTTCGATGGCGAAAGCCACTAAGTTGCTGCGACGAGGCAACTGCCAGGGTTATCTGGTGAGTCTTGTCGACGATTCTCAGAAAGCACGTTCACCTCACGATGTTCCAGTCGTTCGAGAGTTTGTGGACGTATTCCCAGACGAACTTCCAGGAGGACCGCCAAACCGGCAGGTGGAGTTCTCTATCGATCTCATTCCAGGAGCCGGTCCAGTGTCCAAAGCCCCATACCGTATGGCGCCTAAGGAGTTGGAAGAGCTTAAGGCGCAGATTCAGGAGCTGTTACGACTCGGTTTCATCCGACCGAGCGTGTCACCTTGGGGAGCACCCATTCTCTTTGTTAAGAAGAAGGACGGATCCATGCGCATGTGTATCGACTACCGGGATCTTAACCGGTTGACGATCAAGAATAAGTACCCGCTTCCTAGGATCGACGACTTATTTGATCAGCTAAGGGGAGCCTGTGTGTTCTCAAAGATTGATTTACGATCAGGCTACCACCAGCTGAAGATTAAGGAGTCAGATATCGCTAAGTCCGCTTTCAGGACTCGTTACGGCCATTACGAGTTCGTCGTCATGCCATTCGGTCTCAGCAATGCGCCAGCAGTTTTCATGGATCTCATGAACCGTATCTTTCATCCCTACCTCGATCAGTTTGTTATTGTCTTTATTGAAGATATTCTTATTTACTCGAAGAGCCAGAAGGAGCACGAGGAGCATCTGAGGGTGGTTCTCGAAACCCTCAGACGAGAAAAGTTGCACGCAGAATTCTCCAACTGCGAGTTCTGGCTCCAGCGAGTATCCTTTTTGGGTCATGTGATTACTCAGGCAGGTATCGAGGTGGATCCTTCTAAGGTCTCAGCTATTCAGAACTGGTCGACACCGAGGAGTCCGTCCGAGGTTCGCAGTTTTCTCGGTCTAGCTGGATACTATCGCAGGTTCATCGAGGGCTTTTCCAAGATCGCCCTCCCTCTATCCCAGCTGACGAGGAAGTCTGTGAAGTTCGAGTGGACTGATCGTTGTGAGGCGAGCTTTCAGGAGCTCAAGAGGAGGTTAACTTTAGCACCGGTGTTGACTATTCCCGATCCTTCTCGGAGTTTCACTATCTTCAGCGATGCTTCGAGACAGGGCTTGGGATGCGTCCTTATGCAGGACGGCCAGGTCGTTGCGTATGCTTCACGTCAGCTTAAGCCTTATGAGCAGAACTATCCGACGCACGACTTGGAGTTAGCAGCAGTCGTTCATGCTCTCAAGATTTGGCGACACTATCTTTACGGCGGTCGTTGCGAGATTTTCACAGATCATAAGAGTCTGCAGTATATCTTTACTAAGAAGAAGCTCGACATGAGACAGCGCCATTGGTTAGAGCTCGTCAAGGATTACGACTGCTCGATTCAGTATCATCCCGGGAAGGCGAACGTCGTTGCTGACGCCCTAAGCCGAAAGGTGAGGGGTGACTTGACGTACGTGATTACTCAGCAGAGTCCATTGATTCAGGAGTTTGCCCGGATGCAGCTTCAGGCGATTGATGCACTTCCCATAGTAGTTTCGGGGAGTACCAGTGCCAGTGTCAGTGCTATGCAGCTTCAGCCGACGCTAAGAGAGAGAATCCGGCGAGAGCAGGCTTCTGACGAGTTCGTTCGTGTCATGAAGGCCAAGGTTCGAGCCGGAGGCGTCGAGGGTTTTTAGCTAGGTGCCGATGGTGCCCTAGAGTTCAGAGGCAGGATCGTGGTCCCGAAGGTCGAGGCGTTGCGGAAGGAGATTTTATCAGAGGCTCATACCGCACCCTATCTGGCCCATCCCGGGAGCACGAAGATGTATCACGATCTGAAAGGGTCGTTCTGATGGTGAGGTATGAAGAAGGACGTCGTCGAGTTTGTTAGGAGATGTCTTACCTGTCAGCAAGTCAAGGCCGAACATCAGAGTCCGATTGGCCTCCTGCAGCTACTGCCGATTCTGAGGTGGAAGTGGGAGGAAGTCACGATGGATTTCGTTACGGGATTGCCGAGGTCGTCTGAACATCACGACGCTATCTGGGTCGTGGTCGACAGATTGACTAAGGTCGCACATTTCTTACCTGTTTCGATGAAGATGTCTCTGGACAAGTTGGCTGAGATATATACCCGTGGGATCATCTGACTTCACGGAGTGCCCGTCACTATTGTATCAGACAGAGATCCCAGATTAGTTAGCAGATTCTGGCATATCTTACACGAGGCGATGGGCATGAAGCTAGAGTTCAGTTCAGCCTATCATCTGGAGACAGACGGTCAGTCAGAGCGGACTATTCAGACGCTTGAGGATATGCTTCGCGCTTTGGTTGTTGACAGGGGTGCTAAGTGGGAGTCGCTATTGCCGTACGCCGAGTTCGCGTATAACAACAGCTACCATTCTTCTATTAAGATGGCTCCGTACGAGGCAATTTACGGTCGCAAGTGTCGTTCCCCTCTCTATTGGGACGACGTCGGAGAGCGACGAGTACTCGGTCCTAAGTTTATCGAGGAGACAGCAGATCAGGTCGAGTTGATCCGGCAGAGACTCAAGACAGCTCAGAGTCGTCAGAAATCTTCCGCCGATCATCATCGACGAGACATTCAGTTCGAGGTTGGCGAGCCAGCCTTTCTCAGAGTTCGTCCGATTTGCAGAGTTGTGCGATTCGGAAAGAGAGGGAAGCTGCACCCTCGGTTCATCGGTCCGTTCGAGGTTCTCGAACGAGTAGGCAAGGTCGCGTATCGTTTAGCTCTACCTCCCGAGTTATCAGGCATTCATAATGTATTTCACGCATCGATGTTGCGTAAATACGTGTGCGGCCCCGATCATGTCATTCCTCATTCGGATATTCAAGTTCAGTCAGATCTTTCGTACGAGGAGCGACCGGTAGCTGTTCTAGACCGTCAGGTTCATCGGCTCCGGAAGCGAGATATTCTCCTCGTGCGCATTCAGTGGGATCGCCACAGAGCTACTTGGGAGGAAGAGTCCGATATTCGCGCTCGTTTTCCCGATTTTCAGTTTTGATGTATATATTCAGTTATGTTCTGAATTTCCGAGGACGGAAAGTTTGTAAGGAGGGAGGATTGTAATATCCTGACAATTTATCAGTATAAATTATATTTTTAGTTCCGATATTATTTTTCGGAATTAAATATTTCCAGTTATTTCAGTCGAAATTAACGGAAATTATTTTTGACGTACCGTTTACGTTCGAAATAAATTTTGGTAATTAAGTATTATGCTTAATTAAATGATTAAGCCTTAATTTGTGATTAATGGTAATTAATCCTCATTACCATTCCAAA